TGTGTGGAGTGTGTGTGTAAGAGCCAGTGTGTGTGTGAGTATAAGAGGCAGTGTGTGTGATATGTGTGTGTGTAAGAGCCAGTGTGTGTGTGTGTTAGAGCCTGTGTATGTGTGTTAGAATCTGTGTGTGTGTGCATGTATAAGAGCCTGTTTGTGTGTGTGTGTGTGTGTGTGTGTGGAAGGATTGTGTGTGTGTTTAAAAGCCAGTGTGGTGTGTGTGTGCGTGTGCGTGTAAAAATTGGTGTGTGTGTGTGTGTGTAAGAGCCAGTGTGTGTGTTAGAGCCTCTGGGTGTGTGTAAGAGCCAGTTTATGTGTGTGTAAGAGCCAGTTTGAGTGTGAGTGTTTGTGTGTGTGTAAGAGTGTGTGTATATGTGCCATGACTGTGTGTTATATCAGCAAGTAGCCAGTGTGTGTGTGTCTATGACCCAGTGTGTTTATATTTGCCTAAGTATGAGCCAGTAAGTGCATGTGAGTGTATAGATTAGGAAAACATTGTCAATGAAAGTGATTATGGCTCTGTGAGCGATAGTGTGTGAGAGGGTTTCTATTCCTATATGCAATAAGAAAATCAGAGGGGGTAGAGAGACAAAAGATGGGTAAGAGACAGAATGGAGCAAGGGAGATAAGCTATATTAAAGAGTGAATATCAGGTCGCCACTCCCACACTCACCTACCTTGCGCTCCCGCGCCGCGTCTCACTCTCTCTCCACAGGAACACCACGTTGAAGCGCGGCTCTTCAAAAATGCGGCTGGTCCAACCACTCACGTCGACTGCTCGCATGTGACTTCATGCCACTGCGCTTCATGCGAACCCCGCCGCATTTTGAATGCTGCAACACAGGAGGCAGAGTTTTGTTCGTGCGAACACCGCTGCTTCCCAAACATGGCCACACAGGAGGCAGAGCTTCGGGAGAATCATATGGCATGGCGCGCAGAAAAAGGGCTTCTTAAAGGGACAGGAGACCAGGGAGGAGCTACAGTAGGTAGACTGCCCCCTCTCCCTATTTTAACTCCACTAACCCTTGACTCTTTGCTCAGTTGTACTATGCTCCTGATTGTGTAAAAACCTTCAGTGACTAACCTGCCATATCCTGCTTTTTGCCCCTTGCCTGAACTATCGCCTCTGAACCTGTGCCGTCTGTCCTGACTTATAGCTTTCGTGACTACTATCTCTGTTTGATCCTTTTGTAGTGCGAACTTGGTCAACTTGCTTCCTGCATCTTGGGCTCCATCTGCTAAACAGTAATCTCGACAGAACAACTGAACCATTAAAATGGACGTGACTGAAATGCTTGATACCCTAACGAGACAAGCGACCAGCCTGATTTCAGCAGCCCAAGATATACAAGTGCAAGCAAGACCGTCTATGCCTACTGTACTCCCTCCCTCGGTTGCTGCCAATCAAGTGCCTCTTCATAAAGATACGTTCATGGAAACTGAACCATGGATCGCCATGGGCAAAAATATTACAGGAGATTGTTTGCCGTACCAGTCCTTTCTCATGTCCTGTGAGTTTGTTTCATTTACAACCACGCATGTACCACTCTGATTCCGTTAAAGTGCATAGTATGGTATCTCTGCTTTCTGGCACCCCTAAAGAATAGGCACATGAATTGCTACGTGACAACGACTGGGATTCCTTCGTGGCACTCATGTCCACCATGTATGACGACCCCAACAGGCAAGATACAGCTCAAAACCGCCATTAGAGCCTTGAGTCAAGGGCGCAGACAGATAGAAAAATATATCACCAACTTCAAACGCTATGCTAAAGACACCCCATGGAATGAGATTGGCCTTATTGACCAGTTACGTTTAGGCCTCTCAGAACCTCTTAAAGATGATTTTGCACACTTTGGTATTCCTGATTCATTGGAAAATGTTATGCAACAAGCAATTCACCTAGATAGATGACTACGAGAGTGATGTCACAAAAAGCCACCTCTCCCTTTTCACCTAGAAGTACACCTGCAACTCCTCCCAGTTTTCAGTCACTTCCCTCCATAACTCATATAGAGGAACCCATACAAGTTGGACTGGCCCAAGGTCGTTTACCTACTGCTGAATCGCAGCACAAAAAGAGAGAAAATCTATACTGTGGCACCCATGCCCTAATGCCCCCCCAAAAAACAAGACCTACAAGGGGTAAACAAATACGTATTGAACAGCTACCATCCACCATGAATATCATGGCACCTCCCTTATCCATCTTTCTCTCCTTGCAGTGAAACACGAAAACATATAAATGCCAGGCTTTGATCAACTGAGGAGTAAGTGGCTGTTTCCTCGATTCTTCTTTGGCTAGTATCCTATAGATCCCAGTAAGCAAAAAAAAAAATTCCAGTTGAAAATACAGATGGTGGATGGGTCTTTCTTAAAATCAGCCCCATTACAGAAACAAAACAAACCTATCCTGATCTCTATAGGAAAACATAAAGAGCACAATGTGTTTAATCTTGTACCTTCGCCTCTGTTCCCAGTCATTCTTGGCATCTCCTGGTTACGTAAACACGACCCTGTTATTAATTGGACCTCAGAAAGCCTGTCCTTATCCAAAACCTCTGTTCCACTCATTGCCTGCAAAGAAAAGGCGCCAACAGTTATATACACCCCATACTAGAGACAAGTATGAAGAAAAAACAAGTGGTTTCACTCCCTCACGTTTATCATGAATTTGTGGATGTATTTGACAAAAAGGGGGTTAAAACTTTGCCACCACGGAGGGAATACAATTGCCCTATAGACCTGTCACCTGGAGCTCCCATACCGTTTGGCAGAATACACCCCTTGGCAGAGAATTTTTTTTATATTTGAGTATATAATGGAAAATTTGGCAAAGGGATTTATCTGGCCTTCCACCTCCCCAGCAGGGACTGGCATCTTCTCTGTGGGGAAGAAGGATGGTAGCCTACGTCCATGTGTGGACTACAGAGAATTGAACAAAATTACAGTTAAATTAGATATCCACTCCCGCTCATCCCTGAATTGATTGAGAGAATACAAGCAGCATCCATTTCCACTAATTTGGATTTATGAGGTGCTTGCAATGAATAGAAAACCGTCTTCCGGTCCAGATACGGACACTATGAGTACACTGTGATGTCATACTGCCTCTACAATGCCCCTACCTCATTCCAACATTTCCTCAATGACATCTTCAGAGACCTCCTGGACCAGTATGTTGTAATTTATCTAGATGACATTTAAATATTCTTGCCTGACCTACCCATGCATCGTTACCATGTCCTGGGAGTACTGAAACGTCTCAGACAACACAAGTTATATGCAAAAACAGAGAAATGCATTTTTGAAACAACTTGCAAAGAAGAGATGGATCCATGCAAGGTCCAGGCAATACAACAATGACCAGAACCCCAAACTAAGAAACAAGTATAACGGTTTGTGGGTTTCGCAAATTTCTACAGACGTTTCAGTAATTTTTCTCAAATTATACAACCACTCACACATCTCACAAAGAAAGATATGAAATGGCATTGGAATTACTAGGCCCAAACCGCCTTCGATAAACTAAAGCGCATGTTCACTATGGTCCCTATACTACATATTCCTGAACAGCATAAACCCTTCTTTCTTGAAGTCGATACCTCTGATACGGCCACCGGGGCAATCATATCCCAAAGGGACGAAGAGACTGATAATCTGCATCCTGTCACCTTTTATTCCAAGAGACTGATCAAAGCCGAATCAAACTACAACGTTTTTACAAAGAACTACTGGCTTTAAAAAGAGCCCTGGAAGAATGGAGACATCTGCTAGAGGGTACAACTCACCCTATAACAGTATACACTGACCATAAAAACCTGGAGTACCTTCGTTCAGCAAAACGACTCAATCCGCGAAAGGCCCACTGGGCATTATTTTTCTCTAGGCTTTGTACCATGTTACTTACCATCCGGGGTTTAAAAATAAAAAAATAGATGCCCTTTCAAGAATGTTTGCCACAAATGAAACAAAAAAAAAAAAGAAGAGGAAACTGTTAAGTTCATAACACGTCCTGGGTATAATGGCTACTGTAGTAAAGGACATAAAAACTAAGGCTACTACAACTAATTTGCCTCTTTCTCCAGAAAGGTTCCCAATATCTCATAGGAAGATCTATGTTGATGAACCTTTTTGCCTGCGTGTCTTACAACATTTCCATGACCCTCTGGTATCCAGTCATGTAGAACAGCAAAAAAACATACACGCCATCCAACAATACATTTGGTGGCCTACCCTTAAACAAGACATAATAAATTATGTAAACGCCTGTAACACTTGGGCCAAGGCCAAGGCACTAACCATGAAAACAGCAGGTCTATTACAACCCCAACCAATTTCCTCCAGACCCTGGAGCCATATCACTATCGACTTCATCGGTGATCTTCCTGAATTACATGGATACGATATCACAATGGTGTCCATCTAACTAAGACGGCTCATTTTATCCCAGTAAGGGGCCTTCCCAAGGCCAAAAAGATGGCTATCCTCTTTCATGACCATGTCTTCAGGCTACATGGAATCCCTGATTTTAGTCTCTCTGACAAAGGTACACAGTTCACATCCCATTTTTGGCAGGCCTTCTGTCAGTCTCTCAACATCATTTCTCAACATCATCTTTCTACTGCTTTCCCTCCTCATACCAATGGGCAAACCGAAAGAACAAATCAAACTTTATAAACTTATCTTCTCTGTGACCCAACCCATTTGCAATACAACTGGAAATATTTCATCATTATTGCATAATTTGCCTACAACACACATGAACAAGACTCCACACATACTTCTCCTTTTATGCTCAATTACGGATTCCAGCCAACGTCCCTTCCAGATTTATCCATTTCCTCCACTGTCCCTGATGCCTCCGCGCATATCAATCAACTTACACAGGGATTTCTCTGTGCTCAAAAAACACTACAGGATAGTCAACATCTCTATAAATGATATGCAGATTGTGACATAAGAACCCCACCTTCATACCAAGTTGACCAACTCGTCTGGTTATCTACCAGATATCTAAATTTACCCTACCCTTCCAAGAAATTGGAACCTAAATGTTTAGGTCCCAATTTCTTGGTAGGGTAGGGTAAATTTAGATATCTGGTAGATAACCAGACAAGTTGGTCAGCTTGTGACATAAGAACCCCACCTTCATACCAAGTTGACCAATTCGTCTGGTTATCTACCAGAAATCTAAAGTTACCTTACCCTTCCAAGAAATTGGGACCTAAATATTATGGTAGGGTAAGGTAGGGTAACTTTAGATATCTGATAGATAACCAGACGAGTTGGTCAACTTGGTATGAAGGTGGGGTTCTTATGTCACAATCTGCATATAATTTATAGAGACGTTGACTATCCTGACTATTCTGACTTCTCTGTCCCTTGACATTTGGCTTGTCTACAGTTCATGCACACATATGTGTGTGTGTGTGTTTGTATATACATATATGTTTTGTTTGATTTTTTTTAAAATAAAAAAATAAAGTTTTTATCCCCCTCTGTTTTTCTTACCTTGGATCAGGGAGGGACACTTTGAAAATACGGGTAGTCCTGTGGTATTTAGTGACTCTAGACTGCACCACATGAAGCTATGTTCACTCTTCTTACATTGTGATGTATTGGAGTGTTTCCGTGATAATCCGTGGCAACACTTCTAACTCTCAGAGCTTGCGGAAGGAATGCTCTGTCTGAATCTCACGGAGGTACAGGCTTGAACCTCCCAGTTCCTCCTCCTTATTCTTCTCTCGCACTAAAAGGTGCACTGGGGCTGTAAGGGAGATCTTAGAAAGCACACAGCAAGGCTGTCGTTTGACTCTCCTTTGTTGCACTTGGCTGGTGGCCTTTGCAGTCCACCGAGCATTTGCCCTGTTTGCCCAATGGCCAGTCCACGAATATTCATAATTAATTTTATTAATACTGATAAAAACCTAGATATTGCTTTAAAAAGACCTCCAACAATTCATCATGGATTACAATACAATGCTAATTTAATTGAAGAAGAATATCACCAGACTACTCTCACTCGAGGAGTTACATTTACATTTTGTCCATAAATAACAAGTCTGTTACATGTAGCAGCATTACCCCAACATATTTTCTGAACATCAACATCAACACAGTGTAAAAAAACTCTTGTCCGTGCCTAATTTTTCCTATTAAAAAAAAGACATGTTCTTCAGAAGACGTGTTGATTTGTTTCGTTATGAACCGCAATTCATCTGAATTTGGGCAGTTGGCTAACTTTCTGAATTCCTGAACACCGAGCCCAAACGTAGCCATATCAAGGACCAAATGACATGCACAATGCGGAACCTGTTCATTTTGATTCGTAATTCTGAAATCCACCTGTGGCACCAAAAAAAGTCATGCTTAATGGAAAAAAAAGATGATTGACGAAAAAAGAGATGATTGATGGCTTAGGGGACAGTGACTAAACGTGGATTGTGTTCATAGATCAAGTGAGAAGTGAGCTGTAGAGGGAAAAAAGGAGGAACAGGAAAGGAGGAACAGTAAAAATAAGGTGTAAAAAAATTGCAGTATACTGATTGACCCAATTTGTGCACTTTATTTCATTTGATTCATTTTCAGAAGCATTTTTCATTACTGAAATTCTGCTTAGCTGAACCACGATATGACCAAAAATCTTTCCATCTCAAAAAATGTTTTATTCTCAAAAATATAAAATATTTATATAATATATTAATTCACCCGTAACATATTTTCTCAGTGTTCACGAGTCTATTCTTCAGTAAGAAAAACCTTTTATATGATTATATATAAATATTAACCCATCTGACAGATACTTTAGCAGCCTCCTTCTATTTGCTTCTGTAATTTCTGCTTAGAGACAGTTAGAAAGCCCTTCCAGAAATAACCAAGGAAACATATTGAGTCTGAGCATCTTGCAACAGAAGACATCCTGTGTGCAGGGAAATGGCTGGAGTTAGATTCTTCCAGTTACCTGGGACTTTGCGGTATCACTTTCCAGGAGAGGTGATTAATTAGAGGCAGGGATGAGAGCCTGAGTAAGTTCTGCTCTCCACATCTGTCTGGTGGCAGAGGCAGAGAACACCAACTGGGTATCATTTCTTACCCCCTAATAGTAATTGTTTCTGACATCCGTGCCAGCTGTTTGGGGACTGTGAGGCACAGACACTTAGGAAGCATGCCTGTACATATCTCATCCATTGGTACCCGATTACCAAACTTAACTCTTCAAATCGCTGTATGCCCTTCAGTCAGCCATGTAATCATTTTTTAATATTTTCAGTTAATTTTAGAACAACTGCAAATATGTTTAAAAGTTAGTTTTACCATGTCTGGGTGAGAATAGTTTTGTATGACAATCTAGTAAGTTTACTTATTATTCTCTTAATGTTATATTCACGAGGTGTTTTGAGTAACAAAAATGCCACCCCCATGGAAATTGAAAATAAAGAAATGAATGGTTCTGCACTCATAATCCTAAATTAAACAATATATTCAGCCATCAACATCCACCATGTAGGTCCAGCATCTCTTTAAAATGGTTATTGTACTTAGAGTACCCTGGGTTCTGTCCCTTTAAGCAACCTTTGGCACTCCAGATGTTTTGGACTACATTTTCATTGATGCTTTGCCAGCATTATGGCTGTGAAAGCATTTTAGGAGATGTAGTCCAAAACATCTGGACTGCCGAAGGTTGCCTATCCCTGCTCTAGTCAGTGTTATATCATTAAAGAATGTTTTGACACTAAAAAAGGATGGCCAGCTGTGATAGGCTGTGAGCGGTCAGCTGACATTTCCAGCCTATCACTGGTTACTGCAAAACATTAGTTTAGCTCTGATCGGATGGAGACATCAGGAGACTACAGGCACAATAACCACATCAACCACTTAACAAACACACTGCGGCACTGAAATGATGCTGGGCCCGCTTGGTTGGATGTTATTGCCTAAATAAATTTTTTCGCTGAAGATTACGAATCTGGAGTTCTTTCCCACAAGTGACTATGGCTCTGATGGTATTTAATTACAGGAGGAGGAAGAGAACCTGTGTATACCTTATAAAGTTTGTTTTCTAACCAGCCATCACATGGTTTAAACCTCTACATAAGGAAGAGACCATAAGGGATTCTATATATGATTTTTATTGTGAGCTCACATAACACCCTCAAAGCCATCCCACCCATTGTGCAGTGGCATCAATACTTGGTAAAACAAACATCTAGGCTTGAGATGAAAAACTGAAAACACAAGTCTCAAGTCTTCGGAATAGCATGAAGAACAGGACAAATCTTAAGATATCAGAATGCATGCACCAAAAAACAACATAGATTGCCACAACAAAATAGCATGAAGAGAAGGAAACAAAACCCTAAAAACCCACAAAACTTGACTCTATGGATTATTTATAAACTTAATTAGTGCAAATAGTAACAGGCAGTAGAGAAACCACAGAACTCTAAAATTGCTTGCAGATTTACAATCAACTATAAATGAAGGTGCTGCAATTATCTTCTCATCTGCCTTACCCGGAATTAATCCTCGCAAAAAAAACATATAACCTCATGTTAGAATTCGCAGCATTAGCTTTTCATGTATGTGATTGGCATGTTAATGTGTTGTGTTCTAAAGTGATCTTGTAATTTTCATGGGTTATTCATGCAGTTTAAACTTGGAGATCAGTGAGATTTGCTTTAATGTTGCAATCTGGATTTCAATACACTGCATTTTTTCTGTTTAGTAGATAAACCCTTGTATGTTCTTCATAGCCTTGTGTGTTTCATTTGTAATGTAGAAATTAGACGTCAAGTCACACCTGCTGTGTAATATAGAGACACTTTATAAATGGTTAAAAATAATAACACAAATATCATCATAATAATTTATAAATAAAAGCATTCTAAATCCAGAATCTGCCCTCCTGCTTCAAATACAAGTAGGGACTGGATGGTATAGGGTTTCCTGGGAAAGTAAAGGCGAACCGGTCTAAAATCCATTGAGTCCATCAAACAGCAGGACATTAATAACCTAATTATTAGTTTGGAAATACCTGAGCAGCAGTTCTTGTGCTGAGTGTGCTCAGTTGGCACATTTCTGGGCCAAGAAATAGAAGAGAATCGGATGCTTTACACCTCAGTTCTAATTAGCTCCCCACTGTGCTCCAGAGACAACAGATGAGGAATGACCAAAGAGAGAGAAAAAAACCCTTCCTACCAGCTTTTCTAAAGCCTCATATGCATGCTTGAGAATGCTGGCCGTGAATTCATGGCAGCTGCATGAGTCTGGGCAAACATTTAATACACGATCATTGAGGGCATTGCTGCCCTTAGAATAATGGAAATCACCCACACAGCTCTGAGTTTACAGAACTCTTTACCATAATTACATTTCCACTTCCTGACAAATCCAAATGCTGGCAAGTTCGTTTGAAAAATGTTATGTGAAAGACAAGTTGACTGTAAAGAGAACAGACAAACTACTTTATGCTGAAAATAAAAATCTAATAAATGCATAGCATAGATTAGCACATTAGGTTGCAGTGATAACAGAAGAAGAGCCACAATGCAGACGAGTCTCACCTGGCCTTTTCTATAATCAATTTTAAAATGTTATTTTGACTTTCGACACCGATTGCAGAAATTCAGCAAGGTACAGGTGAGTATAGGAATTTATTCACTAAACAGTAAACTATAACCTAAATTGTGAGTTCTATACAAAAATAGTTGCATTGGTAACTGACTTGTGGCAATCCGGTGACTACCTCTGGACCAGATATGGCAACTATGTGTATTTGCTCTATTTCATGCTATAAGTATTTGCTAGCCATGTAGCATATGCATATATTGTATATATTAACAGACCTGGCAACTTTGGAAAATCTGAAATCAGGTGAGCAGGGAGGGACATGTGAGTGGACATTATAGACTGTAAGCTTGTTTAATCAAGGCCCTCTTCAACCTATTGCTCCTGTTAGTTTTTGTATTTGTCTCATTTATTGTTAAATCTCCCCCTTTGATAATATTGTAAAGCGGAATACGCTGGCACTATATAAATACCAGTAATAATAATAATAATAATTAGGGTCCAACTTCTCGCCCACATATGGTCATGTCATCCTGGTGGCAGACAGCA